CTAGTGTGTCTGTCTTTGGAAGTAAACCTTTGGTTACAGCTTGCATTTGCCATAGTTTGAATTTTAGTGTATTCATGACAGGGGTCCCCAGTCCCTCGCGGGTTCCGAGATTCACAGAACTCAAGGGCTCAGCATGTTGTTGTATTCTGTTGCACTATGATTTATTACAGTGAAATGATACAAAGCAAAGTTTGCAAAGGGAAAAGGTTCAAGCGGCAAAGTCCAGAGGAATCCAGGCCCGAGTTCCCAGCATCTTCTCCTGCGGAGTCCACGTAGAACAGGCTTAATTCTCCCAGAAGCATGTTGTGACAGCATGTGTGAAAAGTTGCCAACCGTGGAAACTCGTTAGACACTCAAGGTTTTTTATTGGAGGCTGATCACACTAGCAGGCTCTTCTAGCATGTACCAAAATTCTAGACTTCCAGAAGGAAAGAAGGTGTTCAAGGCAAACCATATTGCTTCTACTAACAGCGAGGCACTCTTACCGGTCCTGGGAGTGGCAGAGACTCCCCAACCCTTCCCATTCCAAGTTTCCAGATACCAGCCGAGGGCCAATCTTGTAAGCAGGACTTTCTAAAGTCTTGTAAGCAGCCCTGTTACATTAGCTCTTTTCTGCACAGCACCTTCTTTTAAATAATTAAAATATTCGTATATCATTCTGTAGTATTTCATAACAGAACACATTCCCATGCATTCATTAGCACATGGACAAAATAAGTAGCCTCTAAAAGGAAATCTGCAAAAACAACCAAAGGAATGTAACAAAGGCTCCATGGAGAAAAGCAGGAGATTGAGAACCCTGATGCTGAGTGAGAAGGCTACGGCTTGGAAGCCTTTGTTCAGAAAGATGCCCACAGTTATTACCCATGTCTGTAGAGACCCAACAGGAAATAGGTTTGAATGAAAAAAAAGACAGATTTTGGTTGGACATGGGTGACAAAATGACAGAGGCTAGAGGCACTGGGGCAAGTTAAGATGCCCCTTTCCTGGGCTGTCTTTGGGGAGAGTGTGGGGAGCTGTCTGTCTCAGTTTTTTGCATATTCACTTACCTGAAAGAATACGAGTGTACAGAATCAGCTGATTTTTCAGGGTCTTTAGCTCTATTACTTTAGTTCTGTGATTCTTAACAAAGAGCTTGTACCCAAAATACTTAGTAAACGTATATTATGCAATTGATGTTTTAAGCATGTATTTTTAAATACAGGTGGAACGAACTAGGAGGATGTGTGATTCCCACTGGTCGCCTGCAGGTATAGACTGTTATATTCATAACGAATAGAATCTGTAAGCACAGTGTACTGTATAATGCTTTGTGTAAGCTGCCATGCAGAGATACATTTTATTTAATGCAAAAGTATTAGTTATTTGAGAATGATTTTTAAAAGCCTTACTGCTAGTGTTTACCTCTCATGGAAGAATGTGGACCTAAAATAATACGGATTTTTCGCTATATATTAAATTTACTGGAAATAGAAACACAAACAGGAATTTGAAAAGCCAAGTATATACACTATACATATTAACTGCTTTAAAAATGATATGGCCTCAACTACTAAATATTTAGTTTGTACAGTAAAGGAGACATATCAGGAAAAAGCCCCCGATTTACTACTTGATACATGTGGACAATTTTAGCTATTTGTTCTATCTTGCTGAAGTAAAGAAGTAAATTCAGATATAGGTTAGGTTTAATGATGCTGTTGCAGCAATGTAAGTAAGCATCAAATATAACCTTCTATCAGTTTCTAAAATGTTCTTTATTATTTTGATCTTTAACGTTACATAAAACTAAATAATTAATATTCATTTGAATGATGATTGACCATCTTAAGGTGTTTCTCTCTAGACTGGCATCCTGCGGACCAACTGTGTGGACTGTTTGGATCGCACCAACACAGCCCAGTTTATGGTGGGCAAATGTGCTCTGGCTTATCAGCTGTATTCCCTGGGATTGATTGACAAACCCAATCTGCAGTTTGATACTGATGCAGTGAGGTAAGCCTTATTTTCTGCTCTAAGAATGCCAATAATGACAGAAAGCAAAGCTGACTATTAATAACGATTTTTATTAATGCATTTCTATTTTAGCCTCTCAAAAGTTATGTTGTTAGAAGACGTTGTTCAAATTAATTCTGTAATAAATTTTTCTGTTAAAGATTTGTGTATTGCGTGGTTTGTTTTTTTTTCCTTTTTGCTTGTGTTAATTACCAATAAACACTGTTCTTTAGATAAATCTAAAGTGCTCAGACCAACTAGTGGGTATTTTTTTAAAACAAATCCAGATGGCATTTTAAAAAAAAGTACTGTGCCTTCATACATTTTTAAGTAAAAATGTGCTTTATAAAAGATCGATTCTTCATTAAGGATTAGTTTGTTCATTGTCCATTGCATCTGTGATATTTCATGAAGTACTGTTTCTTGAAAATACAATGATACCTGGTTTTGGTTGTCTGAGATGATCACAAAGGCTTAGCTTAGGAGAGCCATCAGTTTACAAATAGCCAGATCCAGAGGTATCACTGCACTGAAAGTTTTAATAGCACTTTACGAAACACAAGGTTCAAACATGTACATATTTCTAAGGAAGAATATGGTTTGTCTGTCTGCTGTAATCTGAATGTTTGTGTTTTCCCCAAATTCATATGTTGAAATCATAACCCCTAAAGTGATGGTATTTGGAGGTGGGGTCTTTGGGAAGTGATTAGATCTGAGAGTGACACTGTCATGATTGAGATTAGTGTCCTTATAAAAGAGATCACAGAGAGATAGCTAGTCTGTCTGTCTGTCTTCTGAAGACATAATGGGAAGACGCCATCTATGAACCAAGCAGCAGGCTCTTAGCAGACACCAAATCTGCTGGTGCATGGAACTTGGATTTTTTTCAGCTATCAGGACTATGAGAAATAAATGTTTATTCTTTATAAGTCACCCAGTTTTGATATTTTGTTATGGCAGCTGAAATAGACCAAGACACCTATGACAAGAGCATATCCTTTCTTCAAAGGCAATAAAGCATAGAAAATTCTGTCGTGGGAAGTGAATTGATCTGGCAGGCTGAGGAAGTTCAAAGTCTTTTAATATGGTTAGAAGCAGCTTGGTCTGGCCTGGCTCCTGTAGCATAGTGGTTACAGTACCAGCCACATACACCAAGGGTGGCAGGGTGGC